AAGTATTCAGTTAAGATTAAAATTTCAAAAATAAACCTAATATGAATAAATTGTGTAAGAATTAGCAAAATGTCTGTTAGTGCTTTGGGGGCTACAAGAGCATGCTACAAGAGATATCCATTTGATCTATAATATTTGATTTAATAATATATCATATTCCAAGAGCTTTTAAAACCTACATTTAATAGAGTCTTCATTTTCTCTTTTCTCTCAAAAAGAAAATCAAGTCTTTGAACCTTTCTCTATTTGAATTGCCAATCTTTTGGATCCCCAATTTCATACTCTATTTATAAATATGTAGAACTCCAAAATCATTGTATATTTTAGATGAAGAATATCACTTTTCTTTAATTAATGTTGTAAGTTTCTAAGAGAGGCAGCTTAAAAAATTATGCTGCACTAGAGAACATCACATTTAAATCCACCCACTTAGAATTTCAGTGCTCCTGACATCATTTTTTAAAGAGTAAACATTAAAATAATTAAGCTTTGACATTTTCCTCAATAAACTGAATGCAGGCCTGTTGTGCTTGTATTTGCTTCTCACTGTATTCTTTCAGAGTATGAGAAGAAGAAACCACTCTGACAGAAAACACAGCATAGCAAATCTCTTCAGAAATATTTAAAAGGTGGGTCACTGTATTGTGTGGAAAAAACTAAGGAAAGGGTATTTATCTTTTATATGAGAGACTGATAATGCACAAAATGAGACACTAATTATTCAAAGTACCAATGGATATTAGAATTCCATTGTTTTTCACAGCAGGACGGCTATGAGATAGGTGAGTAAAATGTTCACATGCACTTAATTGGAGATTAACATTAGATAATGACTAGTTAGAAGGTCCAGTGAAAATTATGAAAAACCTAAAAGACACAAATTATAAATTATAGATCATAATTTAAATGCTATCTCAGTTATTTTCTGAAGCATTGTGAAGTTTGTAGATGTTACCTTTAAATCTATATCTCACTGCCCAAGCTAATCATGACTTAATTTTGGGCTCCACACTCAGTGCTTCTCTAGCCTTTCTTATATTTTCCAAACCTCTCTTTATCTTTTGCCTACTTGTTAAATTTTCTTAAGTGGAGTATTTAACTTTACTCTTCAGAGATTAATATTATTTCCACATAACACTAGAACTATTCCATGACTTATTTTTCCAGTCTATCCCTCTTTTGTTATCAGCATTTCTCCCCATTTTTAAGTGCACATAATTTTTTAATATTGTAAATACTTATTAATTTCCATGTGTTTTTGCTCTTAAGTATCCATTTATACATCCATTATCATGGTATTTTTTTGTCTGAGAATAAGCATCTAGAATGAATATATTTTATTAATTAAAATTGTTCTTTGACAATTTCATACATATATAAAATGTATTCTGATAATTCTTATCTCATATACTCTTATCTCCTTCTCACATTTTTCAATCCTTTCTTCTCCTTACAAATCTCTTTGCCACATTGACATGCTTTTGTTTTGTTTTAAAATCTGAGTTTAACCAGAGCCCTCTGTGGAACTGTGAGTTTGGAACTACTCACTGAAGCGTGCTGGATTCACCAGTGGGTATGCAACTGAAGACACTGACTCTCATCTTCGGAATCTCTAGAGTCAATAGTTCAGCAGGAAGTAGTGTGGCTCTGTGATACCCTCTCCCATCCATGATTGATGATTAAAAGATTATATATATAATTTTTATGTGTGTATTCAATTCAAGTTAAAGTTCTCCTAATTTTAACATTTGAAAGCTATTACCAAATTAATGTCATCACATGAGGAATTTTCATTTATGAAAAATTGTTGATTGCTGTTGTGATAGCTTCAGCAGCACATATACTAAAATTGGAAGGTTAGCATGGCCTCTGCACAAGGATGACACACAAATTCAGGAAGCATTCCTTATAGGAAAAATTATAGGTAATTCTTTTTCTGTACCATCAAAAATATGATAAAAGAGAATAAATTAATTTTTTTGTGCAAAAAGAACTTTATAAGAATTGCCCTTTATATCCACACAATAACTTACTCTTCATATTTGCAAATGCTAGCTTAAAGAAGCTGTAAAAGACATATTAACTTAAGACATATTCACTGCAACTGCAACAACACAAATAATGGACTGAATAGAAAAAAAACAATAAAAACTGTATTACCACATAGCACATAGTGTGACACTGAAAAACAGGGTAACCCAAGCCAGGTATTGGGGTGAGCACTGAAAGATCAGAGAAGTAGAACAAGCCACAGCTAATCTCACCTGACCAACTTCTCAACTGATGTTGTTTCCTCAGACTGGAAGCCTCTGTGTCCTCATATCTGAATGGCTCTCAACTGAACTGTGCTGCTCAAAACCTAAAAGCTTAATCAGCCAAATGCTTACCCAGCCAAATGCTTCTAGTTTCTGGTTCTCGTGCCTTATATACCTTTCTGCCTTCTACCATCACTCCCTGGGATTAAAGGCTCGCTTTCTGGGATTAAAGGCATGAGTCACCATGCTTGGCTGTATCTTTGAACACATGGAATTCTGCCTAGCTCTGCCTCCCAAGTGCTGGGATTAAAGGTGTGTGCTACCACTGCCTATCCTCTATGTTTAATATTGTGGCTGTTCTGTCTCTGACCCCAGATAAGTTTATTAGGGTACACAATATTTCGGGGAACACAATACCACCACAGACCACAGCAGAAATAAGCAGGTAACTGGAAGTTTCATCAAAGGAAGCACTAAATAATATCTGAGCTGCACAATTTTGGCCTGAGTTGTTAATTTTGTTAATTTGTTAATTTTGGCTGTGAACAGTTTCTAGCATTTTGTGTCTTCCTTTCCTTTGCCAGACATAAAATGTTTTCTTTTTTTAAATAAATATTTTTATTTTATAATTAATTTAAGTTCACATATCAGCCACAAATTCTCCCATCCTCCCTCCTCCCACCCTCCAACCCTCACCCCAAATCCACCCTCCATTTTTACCTCCTCCAAGGCAAGGTCTCTCCTGGGGAGTCAGCCCAGCCTGGTACATTCAGTTGAGGCAGGTCCAGTCCCCTCCTCCCTACACCAAGGCTGAGCAAAGTGTCTCAGCATAGGCCCCAGGCTCCAAACAGCCAGCTCACACACCAAGGACAGGTCCTGGTCCCACTGCCTGGGGGCCTCCCAAACAGTTCAAGCCAATCAACTGTCTCACTTATCTAGAGGGCCTGGTCAAGTTCCATGGGAGCTCCTCAGCTATTGGTTCACAGTTTATGTGTTTCCACTAGTTTGGCTATTCGTCCCTGTGCTTTTTCCAATCATGGTCTCAATATCTCTCACTCATACAATCCCTCCTCTTTCTCACCGATTGGGCTTCTGGAGCTCCACCTTGGGTTTGGCCAAGGATCTCTGTATCTGCTTCCATCAGTTACTGGATGAGGTTTCTATCATGACAGTTAGGGTGTTCAGCCATCCAATCACCAAAGCAGGTCAGCTCAGGCACCTTCTCTCGATCATTGCCAGTAGTCTATAGTGGAGTCATCTTTGTGGATTTCTGGGGACTTCTCTAGCACTCTGCTTCTTCCTATTCCCATGGGGTCTTCATTTATCATCGTATCTCTTTCCTTGTTCTCTCATTCTGTTCCTGATACAGCTGGGACCTCCCACTTCCCTAAGCTGTCTTTCCCCCAACCCTTGCCTTCCATTACCCGCCCCCCATCCCCAGTTTGCTCATGTAGATCTCATCCATTTCTGTCATTCAGTTATCGCTGTGTCTTTCTTAGGGTCCTCTTTACTAGGTAGCCTCCCTGGAGTTGTGAGTTGCAGTCTGGTTATCCTTTGCTTTGCATCTAGTATCCACTTATGAGTGAGTACATACTATGTTTGTCTTTCTGAGTCTGGGTTACCTCACTCAGAATAATTTTTTTCTAGTTCCATCCATTTGCCTGCAAACCGCATGATGCCATTGTTTTTTTCTGCTGAGTAGTACTCCATTGTGCACTACATATGTAGTACATTTTATTTATCCATTCTTCAGTTGAAGGGCATCTAGGTTGTTTCCAGGTTCTGGCTATTACAAATAATGCTGTTATAAACATAGCTGAGCATGTGTCCTTGTGGTATGATTGAATATTCCTTGGGTATATGCCCAAGAGTGGTATAACTGGGTCTTGGGGGAGGTTGAAAGTTTTCTGCTTCCCATATTTTCCTTTTGTAATAAGAATAGATCCAATTTTTTTTTCGTTTAATGAATCATGCATAATCCAAAAGGTGTTTCTCTGTAGACCAGTGGTATTACAACTTTTATATCCTGGTAAGAAAACAAAAAACACTTAAATGATCAATTAAATAAATAATACTAGTAAATTGGACCTTATGGTACCAAATCCATATGTGGACATAGTAAGCGTGTGTTTCAAGACACAATGTCGTAGAAGGCATTGGATTTTTTCATTTCTTTTACTTTGGGGATTATTTTAATAGATCTACTTAATCCAATCTATTATTTTCAGCATCATGACTAGCATTTATCTTTGCAAAAATAAGAATAAACAGTTCCTACCACCATGTCATTATTGGTATCCTCAGTGGTACCACTGTATCATATAATGCTATGAGTTCTCACTTGTGGAATGTAGAGTTTTCTGAAAGTCAATGCAAATGAAAATGGATAAAAATAATATATTAAGCAAGAACTAAATACCACTTTCTAGAACACAATTCCCAGTAATCCATCTACAATAGTCTCACAGTTTGTCACATATTTCAGAGTATCTTACCTCTTAAGTGTCTTGGAGAGAAAATAATAAAAGGTTGCTTTAAAAATATCTTCTTCGGCCGGGCAGTGGTGGCGCATGCCTTTAATCCCAGCACTCGGGAGGCAGAGCCAGGCGGATCTCTGTGAGTTCGAGGCCAGCCTGGGCTACCAAGTGAGTTCCAGGAGAGGCGCAAAGCTACACAGAGAAACCCTGTCTCGAAAAACCAAAAAAAAAAAAAAAAAAAAAAAAAAAAAAAAAAAAAAAAAAAAATATCTTCTTGAAACTAAACATGTTATATGTTCATGTCTCTCAAAAAGGTGATATTAAAAACTCTACAACATGTTCTGGTGCCCTATAGATTGATCTAAGCTAAAATTTGTTTATCAAGTTTGGTGAGCAGTATGTCTGTTATAAGATGTGGGGTACAAGTACAATCCACTCTGGTCCAGGATATCAGACTTTTCCTAGATTCTGATAACTGGATGGATTCTTCTGATAGTCACAGAGTTAGTATCACTTTTAAATTCCTCCATAGTAAATCAGAGACATTTAAAATTATTAAGTATCCATATAATGGTATTTCTTTTTCAATAAAATATTTATTAATATTTAATCTTTAATAAAAATAATAATTTGCTGTTAAATTGTGCATACATTATGGTGAGGGGAAATGATGACTAGCTGCTCTTGGTGGTGGTTTTTATGTGTGTATGTGAGGTGTTGGCACATACAGTGATAGCTGAGGGTGATAAAAGTTTATCTATGATATTAGTGCACTAAAAAGGATGGAAATAGATGTAACACACATTTTAGTTAACATTTTAAGCACAAAAAGAAAAGGCAGAATTGATTTATAAAATGTATGTTGTAGCTAAAATATGCTATAATAATAATAACAACAGGTAACATGTAGTGAACCTGTTGATTTACAGATTGGATTTTAAACACATTAGGTAGACCCAAATAAGAACTCAATTTGAATGAAGCAAAAATAACTTTGTTTTTAATAAAATATTGAATGTCTTCTCCCACCCTGAAACAAGATTATTTTACTAATTATCTTTCAAATTCTAATTGAGGAAAAATAATTCAAATAACTTGGGACAACCCATCTTCTTCTCTATAAACACCTCTTAGAGTCTATTTTCTCAGTGATTCATCTAGAGATTCCTTGCCACAGTGATGTTTTGTCATGGGAAATCTATTCCTGGGAATAGGACTAACCAATACAATTCCTTATGGAGCATCAGTTGACTCCTTGGCATTCATGCTTCTACTAGCCCACTCAAAGAAATCAAATCAGATTCTTCATTATTTCCACAAACCTCATTTGATCTTAGATAAGGTCAATTCCTTGATACATTGAATGCTCTGATCTCCTCCTTTGGCTACAAATAAATATTTTATGAGTCATGGAGCTATTAAACAATAATCACAGAGGCTCTTCTCTCTTAGCATGATGTAGTAAAATCAGAGGCAGGACTGGTTATGCTGGTGCCTTCAAAGAGACCAATACCAGCCAGCCAGTCAGTCATCCATATAGATGAGGGATGGAGGAAAGATAGCACGTAGAGTGTGGGCAGACTCAGAGTAAAAGTGAGTGAGGTTTAAGCACTGCTTGAATACTAACTAGTTAATATTAGAGATGAGAGTCATAGGCTTAGGATGAGAAGATGCTGGCCAGTGCTGGGGGTGAGGAATAGCCATCCATGTTTCTTCAATAATTCTGAGTTCCAACAAGAGAAGATTATTTATCCTCAGGTAATGAAATCAATTTTTTTGACAAAAATCTCTATTTTTGATAAAATCCATACTCCAATAATAAGAAAATAAAACCACAGTTCTTATATTTTCTTTTTATGTCCAATAAATTTTGTCCCTTATCACATAGCTTCTATAGAGGATCTATTGATGAAAATGCTAAAGATGGTCTATGAAATATAGAGACTTCATAACTTCTACTTGATTAGTTAGTTTACAAAGTTGCAGAGGCAATTGTATAAGGAAAAAGATTATATTTGCCTAAGAGCAAATAACTGCAGTTTCTCATGATGAATAATGCCCTATTCTAAAAAAATTTGCAAAGACCTCTTAGAAAATTTTCAACAGCATTCAAATGCCAGCGAGCTTTCCCTAAAGAGATCTCCTTGGCTCAGTATATTACTAGTATTATTTGGAGTGTATCTATGACTTTTAAGAAAATTCCTCTTATGGTATATTGTGTGATTGTCCTGAATAGTTACTAAGTTGTAGGAAGTTACTGTTTACATTATGGATACTCTTAAGAATTATGATATTAAACCACATTTTATTATTAGGTCCAAATTTAATGTTCACAATTTTTCTGTGGTCCCTAGGAAACATTTGAGCACACTTCTTCAGTGTTCCAGTTTTGTCATTTCATTAATATTCATGAATTGATGTATTTAAGGGCCTCTTTATTCATATTTCTGTTTAAACTTTATTTCTTGGCTGTGAAGAGGTTTTAGTGCAAATAAACAGATCATTAAATAAGCTTATTTCTGTCCTACATTTACCTAGGGTTACTACATTTTACCTTACATAAATAATTAGAATTTACTGCTAAAAGTGATATGTTCCTTCCATAATTTTTATTTGTACAGTTACTGAGAAAGCAATTGTTATATTTTTCATCATCACATAAATGGAAATAACCTGGGTATACTGGAAACAAATTTGAAGTCATTTAGTTAATGACTTGTCTTGTGTAAATTACCTTTCATCTCCAAGTTAGGCATTTATTCAATTATCATTTACTCAGTTGTTACACTAAGATGAATGAGACATTTATACTTGCTAAAGTTATTTTTCTGTAAAAATATAAACATCCAGAAAGAATATAAAATGATTTTGTACTCCTTTTTAGTAGCCTTTTATTGAAGAACAATTCCAAACTTACAGAATAGTTATAAAAATACTGAAAATAATCATTTACCTTTATCTGTAATGTACCTTAGCACAAACTTTTTAATAAAAAGCTTTGCTTTCTCTATTAACTTTCTATCATCTATCATGTGTCCATCTGTCCACTCAACAACTATCAAGCATTTGTCTTTTATCATCATTTATTATCTATCATCTATCTATCATCTGTCATGCATCACCTTGATCATTATCACATTATCCATGATTGCTTGTTTCTTATGTTTTCATTGTTAAAACTCAATTGCATGTTCTGGGAAGGAATGTTGTCATTTCAGTGACATGATGTCCTGTTCAAAATATCTCGATTCCAGCCATATAGTATTGATTTCTCAAAATGCTGGTGACATTCTCTTGAATCATATGACTATGGAGAAATCAAACAGATCTCTGTATCATAAAATTTCCTAATTTTCAATTTGTAATTAATAACTAATTTATAAAAGATTGATACAGACTATGTAATTGTATTGTCCATTGAAAACTTACTAGCTAGTTTTGCATACTTTCATGTCAGTAATGTCATTTAATTTATTAATAGTTTGGCTTCTAAGCCGGGCGGTGGTGGCGCACGCCTTTAATCCCAGCACTCGGGAGGCAGAGGCAGGCGGATCTCTGTGAGTTCGAGGCCAGCCTGGTCTCCAAAGCGAGTTCCAGGAAAGGCGCAAAACTACACAGAGAAACCCTGTCTCGAAAAACCAAAAAAAAAAAAAAATAGTTTGGCTTCTAGTATTTGGGAATGTACTTTTCATATATATTTACACTGTGTATATGAATATAATATATTTACTCATTAATAGTTTAATTGCTAATTAATAATACTAATATTATATATTTCATGTACTTGAAAAGTCAATGCATATATGAATAGATGAGACATAGTCATGAGAATATGAATACACACATATATGTATATATATGAACATATATATGTTTGATAATAATTTGTTTTATCAATCATTTACTGTAACTGTTACTCTTCATGCTCAAATTTTCCTAGAACTGAAGATAAAACAAAACACTTCTTCAGTGTTCCAGTTTTGTCATTTCATTAATATTCATGAATTGATGTATTTAAGGGCCTCTTTATTCATATTTCTGTTTAAACTTTATTTCTTGGCTGTGAAGAGGTTTTAGTGCAAATAAACAGATCATTAAATAAGCTTATTTCTGTCCTACATTTACCTAGGGTTACTACATTTTACCTTATATAAATAATTAGAATTTACTGCTAAAAGTGATATGTTCCTTCCATAATTTTTATTTGTACAGTTACTGAGAAAGCAATTGTTATATTTTTCATCATCACATAAATGGAAATAACCTGGGTATACTGGAAACAAATTTGAAGTCATTTAGTTAACGACTTGTCTTGTGTAAATTACCTTTACACAAGAAAATGAGCAATGGTGGACAATTTCAATGCAAGTTGGGAAGGGTACTTCATTCTTCTGGGTTTTTCTAAATGGCCTCATCTGGAAGTTGCTCTCTTTGTGATGATCTTGATATTCTACTTGATGACACTCACAGGCAATCTCTTCATCATCATCCTGTCATACTTAGATTCCCACCTGCATACCCCTATGTACTTCTTCCTTTCAAATCTCTCTGCTCTGGATCTCTGCTACACCACTAGCTCTGTCCCTCAGCTGCTGTTCAACCTCTGGGGTCCAGAGAAGATGATATCTTATGCTGGGTGTATGCTACAACTCTATTTTGTCCTCGCACTGGGTACCACAGAGTGTGTTCTGTTGGTGGTGATGTCCTATGACCGCTATGTAGCTGTGTGCAAACCCTTACATTACTCTGTCCTCATGAATCCTCGTTTCTGCTACCTGCTGGCTGCAGCATCCTGGGTAAGTGGCTTTACCACCTCAGCACTTCATTCTTCCTTTACCTTCTGGGTACCCCTGTGTGGACATCGCCAAGTGGACCACTTCTTCTGTGAAGTCCCAGCACTGTTGCAGTTATCCTGTGTTGATATCCGTGCAAATGAGCTGACCCTCATGGTCATGAGTGCCATTTTTGTTGTTATACCACTTATTCTCATTTTGAGCTCCTATGGTGCCATCGCATGCACTGTTCTAAGAATGCAGTCAACCACTCGACTTCAGAAAGTTTTTGGGACCTGTGGAGCCCATCTTACTGTTGTGTCTCTCTTTTTCATTCCAATCATGTGCATTTACCTTCAGCCTCCAACAGAAAATTCTCAAGATCAAGCCAAGTTCATTGCCCTCTTCTATACTGTTGTCACCCCTAGCCTGAATCCTCTCATCTATACCCTAAGAAACAAAGATGTCAGAGGGGCAGTAAGGAGGCTGACTGGATATGAGAGGGAGCAATGAGAGAAGCCCTCCACTGTGTAGTCTTTGATAAGAATGTCTGATCCTTCATAAAGGACACTTTGTGGTCTTTTACAACTCTTCTGGTCACCAAATCATAAAACATAAAAATGTAGATATTAAATTATTTGAGTAAGAACACATTTTTTTCAAAATATGAAATTATGTCAGGAACTTAGCCAGTGAATCTTATACCTTTCCACTTTGAACAATACAGTAAAAAATCTGTTCCAAACAGTTCATTTGTTCATTTGTCTATTTCACTCAGGAACATATTCCCTACTGTCTTTATTAATATGTGTTTACTGTCTTGAAATTTTGGGATTCTTAGTAATTTAGATGGATGTGACATAGCTCTCCTATGGATGAAATTGCAAGCTAAGATAAAAGAGGAAATCCCTGTATAATATTTGGTTTGTCATGGGGCACACACTAAGAAATTAGGGTCGCTTCTAAAATACTTCCAGGAAATGTGACAACAAATCTTGAATATAAATGTCCATTGCTAATTTGAATGCAAAATGATGTTAGTAATTAAAATAAGCAAAAGAAATAAATCACATAATTTGCTTTAATGAGCTTAGTGACATAGTAAAATTATGATATGTGCATGGGCCCATTGAATTCATCTGGTATTATTTCCTCAGGTAGCTTGTTAGAGATTCATTTCCAAGACTCTAGACTTTTTTGATTTGGTCAACTGTTCATTTGTTTATTCTTTTTTTTTTTTTTTTTTTTTTTTTTTTTTTTTTTTTTTTTGGTTTTTCGAGACAGGGTTTCTCTGTGTAGCTTTGCGCCTTTCCTGGAACTCACTCGGTAGTCCAGGCTGGCCTCGAACTCACAGAGATCCACCTGGCTCTGCCTCCCGAGTGCTGGGATTAAAGGCGTGCGCCACCACCGCCCGGCCATTTGTTTATTCTTGGCTGTGTAATTAAGTATCCTATTTTTATAGGTACCACTTTTGGTCTGCTTTCAAAGTATTTGATTTAAGATATCTAGTTTGTTTGCTTTGAAAACATTTTGGTCTAGGCATTTTGTTCTGCTTGTTTTATTGATTTCCTTTGAATTTCTAAAGACATTTGAGTTTTGTTTGCTTTTGGAACTTTGAAGGCATTTTGGTTGTCTTTGTCTTTTAAATACTTTGCTTTATTGTTTGACCTTTGTCTCCCGACACATAGTCTCAAATTTCTAATTCTGCATTTTCAGTTGCTTATACTTTGACCTTAGCTTGGGAATTTTATAAATACTTCAGCATAAAGACATCAAAGATAAGAGACATTTTTTGCCTCCCTCCTAAAAGTGTGGCAGTATCAGGGGAAACACCCCACCACACAATGTGCAACTGCCTCATTGGGAAACCATCTGTAGCGGTTTTAATAGGTATGGCCTCATAGACTCGTGTACTTGAATGCTTAGCCTACAAGAAGTGGCATTATTAGGAATTGTGGCCTTTTTAGAGTAGGTGTGGCTTTGTTGGAGAAAGTGGATCACTGTGGGGGTGGGCTTTGAGATCTTATATGCTCAAGATATGCACAGTGTGGGATTCAGTTGCTTATGCTGCCTGTAAATCAAGGTGAAGAACTCTCAGTTCCTTTTCCAGCACCATGTTTTCTGGCATGCCACCATGAACATAATAGACTAAACCTCTGAACTGTAAGCCGATTGCAATTAAATGTTTTCCTTTATGAGAGTTGCTGTGGTCTTTGTGTCTCTTCATAGCAATAGAAATCCTAACTAAGACAGAAGTTGGTACCAGGGACTGGAGGATTGTTGTGATAGGCCTGACCATGTTTTTGGGACTTTGGGTTAGGAGAACAGTGGAATGATTTAAATACTGCTCAATGGATCATACTAGTAGGAGCATGGAAGATAGTGGTGCTGAGGGTGATTTGAACTGTGGGGGCATGGATCAAGAGGTTTCAGAGGAGAAGAATTTAAGTATGTTGTCTAGATATTCTTCTAATATTTTGGTAAAGAATGTGACTGTTCTTTGCCCTTGTCTGAAAAGTCTGCCTGAGGCTAAAATGAAGAGTTTTGATTAATTGTATTGCCAAAGGAACTCTCAAAACAATCTAGTATAGACTCTATCATGTACTTACTAGTGTTGACTCTTATGAACATTTATGATGAAAATGAGCAAACTGAGCAAGGAAAATACAAAATCTACAATTTGAGGAGAAAAGGAGAACCAGGAAGTGGAATGGAGCTAAGTCCTCTGTTCAAGGAGAAACACAGGTTAAAAAAATGAAATAAAAGGAGTGAAGACCTCTGGACAAGATCCCATCAAGCCAATCTTCCAACTTGTGAAAAGGAATTAAAGAACAGCTTAGGTCTAGGCATGGTGGTGCCCTCCTTTAATCTCAGTATTCAGAAGGCAAAGTTGGCAGCTCTCTAAGTTTGAGGACAGCCTGGACTACAGAGCAAGTTTCAGGATAGCCAAGCTTAGGTAGTGAATAAAACCATAGAAAATAGAAAGTTGCTGACGACATAATTGAATGAGGGGGCCATGTGCCAGCCCTAGCAAGCCGCAGAACTTGGCAGCATCAGACACAAGGTTTTGGCTTTAGAGTCAAAGATATAAAAAAGGGGTCATGGATCTCCCTCCATGACTAAGGAAAGCCACTAAGGCCAGGCATGTGTCAGGGTTGTGAAGCATGATCCTAATTAGTCTTAACAATAAAAACCTGGAGTCAGATATCAAGGGTGAAATCTGAAAGATCAGAGAAACAGAGCAGCCAGCCACCAGAGACTTCTTACTTCTGTGACTGAATGGGGGCTGAGATCTTGTCTCTACTCACCTTATATTCCTCTCTCCACCTCCCTAGTGCTGGGATTAAAGGCATGAACCACCACTGCCTGGCTCTATTTCTCTTTTAGACAGGTTCAATCTCCTGTAGCCAAGGTGGCCTTAAACTCCTGATCTTCCTGCTTGCTCCTCCAAAATTCTGGGATTAAAGGTATGTGCTACCACTGCCTTGCCTCTATGATTAACTAGTAGCCAGCTCTACCCTCTGATCTCCAGGTAAGATTTATTTGTCAGAACACAAACAAAATGTCACACAACAGTGGTGTCCCTGCATGGAGGCCTAGAGAGGCCACTGTCTGAAGCTGTGAAGGTGAAGCCTGGATTGCCTTGGAGATCCCAAGATGTTGGAGATGCCAGAGCCATGGTATATCTGGGGAGGAAAGCTGCTAACAGAGAGTGGAAATAAGTATGTTACAGTCAACAAAGCTGAAAGGAGTTGGAAATCTGAAGAGCAGTTTGACATCAGATATGGAAATATAGTTTGGAGTTTGCCCAGATGTTTGTTGGTCTTGCTTTGGTCCAGTATTTCCTCACTATCCTTTCTTTCCTCCATTTTGAAGCAGTAATGAATATCCTATGCAACTATATGTTAAGTTATCTGCTTTTATACTTCGATTTTACAGTTAAGAGATTGCATAAATCTCAGAAGAGACTTTGAACTTTGAGCTTTAAATATTGTTGAGACTGTGATAGACTATGGGGACTTTTGAAGTTGGACTAAATGTATTTTGTATTATGTTATGGCTACAAGAAATCTCAAGGTTGGTTGTAAATATCAATTGAAGGTTGGCATGTTGACCTTCTTGTAACACGAATTTTAAAAGGTCTTATTAATAAAAACAAACCTAGCAGTCAGATATTGGGGTGAATTCTGAAAGATCAGATAAGAAGAACAAGCCACAGCCAATCTTTACTAAAGTAACACAAAAACAATCTCTAGGCAACGTACTAAAAGTCTTCTCCTCTGAAACCTCTTCAGTGAGCTCCCAACAATTCAAATAATTCTTAGTACCTCTTTCTTCCATTCTCCTACTAGTATGGTCCATTAAGCAGTGCTTAAAGCATTCTACTGCTTTCATAACCCAAAGTACCAAAGTCCAAATTTCTCTAAACACATGGTCAGGCCTATCACAGCAATACCCCAATCCCTGGTACCAACTTCTGTCTTAGAGTTACTATTGCTGTGAAGAGACAGTATGACCACAGCAATTCTCATAAGGAAAACATTTACTTGAGAGGGCTCACTTAAAGTTTCAGAGGTTCAGTCCATTATCATCATGGTGGAGAGCATGATGGCATGCTGGAAGATTTGGTGCTGTAGGAACAGCTGAGAGTACTACATCTTGCAGGCAACAGCAAATCTATTGACAGTCATACTGAGGGAAGTTTAAGCAAAAGAGACCTCAAAGCCCACCCCAACAGTCACACACTTCCTCCAAGGCCATATCCACTCCCACAAAGACACACCTCCTAACAGTGTCACTCCCTATGAGATTATGGGGGCCGATTACATTCAAGCTACCACATATAAACAATTTTCCTGGAGGAAAGGAAGTTTCCAAAAAGGGGAAGTATAAACCACCATCTGGTACTCTAGCTGGCCTTATGTGTGATAATTACTGACTAATTCATAAGCATTTAGAAAAGTAGGGAAATCTAACTAAAGGTAACCTGAACATTCACTCTCTCCAAACTGGTTTATTTTGCCCCAGAGAACACAATTTTTAAAAATCACAAATAAGCGGGTTGCTTTAGTTAAATGTAAAATGATCTATAATACGTGATAAAAATTGGTAATTCTAAATTTTTTAGGTCCTAACCCTCAAACTCATAAAATGCCAGTGCCACTGACAATGTCCTGAATGACATCCTGGACCAGCTCTGGCTGTACTCTGGCCTAATAAAGCATTGCTGGCAGATAGACAAAGACTTGTACTCATCATTCCTCAGAAACCTAAGAAATAGGTTTCTGCTATAAGGAAGATCTACTACTTCTTATCTCCTCCTAACTCAAATGGGGTACCTAGTTAGTTCCCTATTACCTTATACTTATAACACATATCAAAGCTCTGGCTCTCTGGCCTGCAAACATCACACTCTATCACTCCTAAACTCTCAGGTTATTCCAGTTTACAGGATTTCCTCCCAGCCTGTCTCCTTTGTAACTGAAAAAGGCATTTCCCACCTTTCCATTCTTTCTGCCTCCCAAGAGGTATCCTTCTGAGTCTCCCAAATGTCTTTGGCTATACTCTGGTCCTTGAGAAAGAGCCATGGCACATTTGAACTCCTAAAATAAACCTTCTTTCCACACATGGAGTGGCCTAGTTTGGTGGTTTCACTGCATACTCTAATACAATAATAATAAAGTGTTCTAAACAAACTACTATGAGTTAAATTACATGCTATTTTTTAATTTTGATTTTTAGAGTTTATATCAAATCTAAATTACAAAATAGCTCCTGATTCTTCTTCCTCTGACCTTGCTTCTTTTTTTGTTTGTTTGTCTTTTTTTTTCTAGACAGGGTTTCTCTGTGTTGCTTTGCACCTTTCCTGGAACTCACTCTGTAGCCCAGGCTGGCCTCAGACTCACAGAGATCCACCTGCCTCTGCCTCCCGAGTGCTGGGATTAAAGGCGTGAGCCACCACTGCCCGGCTATGACCTTCCTTCTTTATCTCCCACCTATCTTAGAGTTTTTCTTGAACAACTTTTTTCCCTCTTAAAATGCTCATGCTTATACTAAAGAGTCTTTTTTTCCCAAATAAAAAAAAAAGTTTGGTCTGAGTCAAGTTTTTCTACAGCTTAAGGGAGCTTCTTAGGCTGTTAAAGATAACCAAATGAAGCTATATCTGTGTCCCCAAAATAACATTCCTAGGAATTTATGCTGAGACCCATATTTCAAGC